TCTTAGTAGAAGTTTGAGCATCGTGCTCCCTAACTTGATCATTTAAATAGCAGTAGTGCAACAATCTCCAACCAAATCTCACTGTTCTCTTTGACAACATCCTTATACCAAGAGGAATGTCACTAAGTGTGCTGTCAAGTGATGCCTCTGCATTGCTCTGGGACTTGGGCATAACTTTAAACCCCTGGAGCAATGATGGTAACAATGAATCATACAACCTTGCAAGGGCATTCAGCAATTCCTCAACTCCATAGCTGCAATCAGGGAGGAGGCAAGAACTGTTACAGAGTGATAAAACAGGGAAAGATCTCGATGTCATCAAACATCAATGGATGAACAAGAAGCTTGCTCACCTCATTTCAAAATTAGCACACAACAGTAAAGCGGCAGGTTGATAAGCACCAACAAAAGAATCCAGAGTAACAATTGCATCATTTACAAAATCTAACACCTGTGGTCAATCAACATTATCATCAATTCCAGGGAGATAGGAAAGATATAAGCAGGCAAATCAGAATAAGTCCTGCAAGGATAGAAGTAACCTCCAAGAAATCTTTCTGAAGCTGAACATATCCATTATCAATTGACCCGGTTGAAGTGAGCACCTGAATTCAATTGTGGTTAAGATGGGTCCAATACATATGGGATATCAGGAAAGAACCATTATCCAATAGCCGAGAATGCATGACAAATTCATTATTGCTATTATTGGCTCATAAAGATTAAACACAATAAGTGAACACTGGAGCATATGGAGTTTTAATACACTTTAAAGGAAATTATTTAATTCTAATTATCATTTTCAGCTACCAAGTATGATAACAGTGTCAGAAACAAATCTCTTGACCCTAGCATCAATAATGCTGAAAGGAACAGGGAACTAAGTTTTTTATGAGAAGATTAGTAGAGAACTAGAGATAAATATACACAGTAAACAATAATGGGGTAGAAGAGTATGAGATAATATACATTATGCCAAGCTGACCAGATATTGGACACATGTATAACACACACATCAAAGAGACCATGGAATGCAGACACTTCACACTTCAAGGCAATAGTCAGAAACTCAGAAATTAAGGAATCAGCAGTAAATAATAATTTCTAGCATGATCAATGAAACTGAAAATCCTGGATCCAAAAGAAGAGTGCAAGATGTAAATTAAATATGAGAAGTCCTACATGCCTATATGTGGCTTCTCTGGGCATACAAACAGTAACTATTAAACAATGCTATCGAATATTGCTGTAAATAAATAAGACCTTTTATCAATTCTATGAGTAAACACAAGGAATAGGGGAAATTGGGAAAAGACAAAGATCACCTGTAAAGATGCCATGCACCTATCATGCATCGTGTGGAAAATGTTGAGGAACTGGGGAATGACAATATTAATGCCATCCAGTACACTTGGCTGCACATTAATAACATTAGTAACCTGGAGATGCACAAAGAGAGTGCCCTTTATCAGCATAAGATTTCACAATTAAGAAAATTTAGCTAAAATAATGAACAAAATATATTTTAATTTCAAAAAATTATAAAAAGGTGCCTAAAACAACCAAATAACAAAAACTACTTGAGGGTGTGTTCAAGAAAAAAAGCTAGTTGAGGGACCCACCAGTGAACTTGTTAACTTGCCGTTGTCATGCTCATATATAGCACATATGTCCAACAATTTTGGCAGATCAAGCATTTTTTTCTCCAGCAGAAGGGCTACAACGGAACATTGTGGAATTGAGAATATACAAATACAGTATATTCAAACCAGTGGTGGAATCAATAAACCCCACACAATGAATACATGAGTGACACAATTTCACCTGCATGCTCCTTCATGCTAAGGGACTCGCCACGACCTGCTCCGGGATCCTTATTCGAGGATCTAAAACACGAAAACAATTCAGTGAAAAGGTAACAAAACAACAAAAGATGGGAAATGATAGAAAGCTCACATGCGGTAGAGGACCATAAATACACGTCGGCAAAGCTCAAGCTCCCCAACAACCAAACCTGCTACAGTCCCCTTTGGGCCTCGGTGTGGCAAATCATACCACCTGTGCCTGAATTGTAGATAACTATCAAGGAATTCATGCAAAGAAGTGTTCTGTGCCACTGGGAAAGAACAAAAGTTAGCATATGTCATTGACAAAGTTTAGATGCAGCTGAATTCAAGTACCAGTTGTGGAACAACAACATATTAAATTAATCATATTAACTAATCTATTTATTGAACTATCGATTATTGAGATAACTTCTTTCCAATATCTAGGGCACGTGATCTATCCTTATGCGGTTACATCTAAACATCAGTATCCACAGCTGAAAAGTCTATAAACACCATCTTTACCCTGTTTCCCTAACTGTCTATTCAGGAATGTGGCAAGAGTGCAAGACACTACATGAATAGTACTTGATAATGTTAATAATAGGAAGTATCAGGTGCACAAGATTATAATGATGAAAACATGCACATAATCAATCTTGTGCCTAGGATCCAAGTGGGGGGCCGGAATATTCTCATCCCTTTTATCCATCTTTTCATTTGATTAAATGCTAAATCTGATTGTCTTAAGTCAGCCCAGGATAGGTGATGGAGTTTCAAACCTCACTTGGTCCACAAAGATCAGATCTGAGGCATGAGATTGAGTATGCTCAACATGCTCATAGGTTCACTAATATAATCTTCTGCACCTTATATTTCCTTGCTAAATAAAATGTGAAAGTTATTTGTCTGAAACACCGAATAAAGGACTTCAGATAGCATGACTGTTTTGTCCCAATCACCATTATGTATATGCAAACCTCTGCAGAGGCATCTCATGTGTAAAGAGCAACTGAGATTGTGTTTTCAATATTTGAACAGATTAGCTGAGATTTTCTCTACAATATGAGCATAATTGAAAATTCAACTAACAAATAACGAGTAGCTAGAGATATGTTTTTCTGGGCCTATCGCTTGAATTGCCACAACAAACTGGAATAGTTTAAACTTCACAGCAAAACCTAATTTGTTAAGAGGCTTGACCTGCAACTTAACATATAGGCAGGAAAGTATCTAAAATAATGCATGTAGTGTTAAGAAGAAGAATCAAATTATTATGTGGACATCAAAGTACATGTGGAGTCATCATCTTACAGTATCATCAACAAAAAACACAAAACAGGTCAGCTATTTAAGCCACTAAATTGTATGCATATATGATACGAAGCAGAAAATAAACAAAATCACTGAAAGAGAATTGCACAATAAGAACACTACGAGATCCCAAGCAAGTACTCACATGAATTTTATACTTAGAGGACATCATTGGTTTTTTCTGAACGGATAAGCATCAGAAGGCGCACTAAATTCAGTCGACCAACTATACTGAAGCAAGCAATAGCAGGTTCGATCAGCGAGCAATGCAGAGGCGAATGTTCCGCTTACCCTGGAGCCAGAACTCGCGAGGCTTGGCCCGGAGGAGCGCGGCGAGTGCGTCGTTGAGGAGGTCGACGACGACCTGCGACTCATGTGCGTCGAGGCCGCCGAGACCCGCCGCGACCGCCTCGTCATGCGGCAGGAAAGCGACGAATGCATCAGCCGCCCCGCCACCTACGCTACCGCTGGAGCTCCCACCTGAGCCAGACGCGGAGGACGAGGCGGCCGATGATCGGAGCGCGGTGGTGAGCGATGGCTGGGACGGGGGCGAGGGTTTTGGCGCCGCAGGGGCGGCGGATTTGGGGACGTAGCGAGGCTGCGGCGGCTGCTGCGGCCTCGGTCCGGGGTTGTGGTGCTGGCGGCGGTTGTGGGAAGGTTTGGACTGGTGGGCAGGCGGCGCGGACGACATGGCTGGATCGAGGAAGTTGGAGAGACGCCTTTGGTTTGGTTGCTAGGGGACGAGAAGGAAGTCAGCTGGTTTCTTCCTCGGTTTAGGGGGTTGCGCGAAATTGTGAGAAGACGGAGGGTTTCTTCAGATAATACGGACTATATTCTTACTTTATTGAGCTCAAGAAATTTCGCGCAAATTTTAGTAACAAGTCTATCCCTAATAATAATCCCTAATCCCTAATAATAATATAATAATATAAAGGCAAAATTTCAGGCTTTTTTTTTTCGTCCAGCCCATTCTAATCTGGCCCAACCGTCTGCCACTTGCTCGTTTTCAGCCCACTGGCAGCCCACTCGCTCACGTCGACTTCTTTCCTCACGACGCTCTTGTCTCCCTGGATCGCCGCCGCTTCCGTTCCGTGTCCCGCACCGCCGCTCCTCCCGTCAAAGTGCAGCGCCAACGCTCCTCCAGTCCGCGCGCAGTGCCGCCGCTCCTCCCGTCTGCGCGCAGGGCTGAGGCCGCCGCTCCTCCCGTTCGCATACAGGGCCGAGGAGCTCGAAGCAATGGCGCGAAGGCAGAACCACCGGTCGAAGCTGCTGGATGCGGACCTCCGTTCGGCGGCCACGGAGAAAGAACCGTCGTTTGGGGCTCCGATGCGGGCATACGGCACCGGCACGGAAGTCGGTCGGCATCACGAAGAGGGAGGGAGACGCCGCGGGAAGCGACGGAGAGTGCGCGTGCCACTTTGCTCGCGGAGTTGCTGGCGCGGGCGCTGGATTCCTACAGCAGCGTAGCCGCGTAGGTGCTGCCACAAAGGAGCCAGCCAGCCAGGTCCCAGCGTAGCGAGGCGGAATAAGAATCCAATCGAACTAAAGACGGATCGGGACACCAACTCAGACCGAGAAAAAAATCCATGGTAAATTCTACATGAACTCCAAGTTCGACACAAACTCCTTCACTTTTTTCTTATTTATATATTAGAGATAGAGATCTCGGTTGAAAAAGGGGCCAGTGGGATATTATGTTCTCGCAGGTTTCCAATCCTGATCTCGCGGAGCTGAACAATCCAGAAGTTCCTCCTCTCGCTTGATCAAGCAAGGTTTGCCTCTTAAAGTTGCTATTTCTTCCTCTTCACTGATTCTCTGCAGCCACACTATTTTTGAGGATGCTACTCCTGAACTGTGTAGAGATTTCTTATGGGATGGTGATTTTCGTCTAAAGTGGGATCCCATGCTTGCACACTCGAAAACTTTGGATGAGATCCCTCAGAATGGAGCAACAGTTCCACTGGATAAAAAAAGGTCTGTCCAGTTTCTATTGTTCCTTTTACCTTCAATTTTAAACTCCCAATTCCAACAGGTTGTTTGTTTTCCAGTTTTCATTCTTTTGCAGTGACGGTACTGAATACATCTTTGGAGGATGCATACAGGAATCCGGACTTACTATTGTGCTTCAAAGGTAAGTATTTTTATTAACATATGCTTTTACTCATGTAATGCTATGCTCCCTTCATTATCTGAAAAAAAAATGTTCATATAATTTTATGAATGCTGCACACATACGGGATAAAGTGAAATTTGTCTAAGTTAGTGTCTCTTGGCCAAGCAACAGCAGTATGCAAACTCTACATGATATGGTTTTGCTCATTTTTATCTTATTTATTACCAGTTAGTTAAATTTTCTGATGGACATAACACTTTTTTGTTTATTGTTAAAGGATTGGATAACAGAATAGAACACTATACTCATTTGGTCTGTTGCTTTTCCTATACTAATTAGTTTGTCTTTGTATTGTGCGAAAGCTTAGCGGTTCATCAAGTTTCCAATAAACTGGTAAAACCGGAGGATTTGGTCATCTCAGAATAAGACAGCCATTCATTGCAGAAATAACAGACGCTATGGTTAGTGACAAAGGATAGGTGAGATCTCGCAAGCAATCTCATCTTCTAACGATCTGGCCAAAAAAATCTGAACTGCACCATGGTGTATGTCTGCATGTTTTCAAAAAATAAATTTGACCATGGATTGGTATCACGGTTGAGGAACTAATAATACAAGTAAGATAATTTTTTTCTATTTTAATTCCAATGGCCCCTTGTGCTGTAGATTGGGAAGATCAGTGTGAATTGATATCGGAACTAGAATGCTATTTGTGAAGACTGGTTTTACTCCATTTGGCTTGCAGGTGAAAAGGTCGTTGAGCCAGTTCGCTGCTGCACAATGCGATAAAGATCAGTGGCATCCTTTCATGGAGCCATTGTGGTTCACCAAGTCCTGTTCCTATGTGTTGTTTTCATGACCGCAGAGCTCAACATATCCTCAAGTTCTGTCTATGCATCCCTCCAAGGAATCCCTTGGTCGTATATAGATTGATCCTCTGGTGATTGATTAGCTGATTGCTATTCCAACCATCCGTGAGTACAACTCCTACTTACAAGACTGGTTAGCCTAAGAATGCTATTCAGTTGTTCCCAACATCACACATGGAAAGAATTTTAACTTTAATTTTTTATGGATTACTTGTACCTGGTCTTGGTTTTGATCATCACAGCAAAGCAGTGAAGAAGTTTGGAGCCTTTTGTTGGCTGTCTGTGGCTATATATAGTACAACTCCTACTTACAAGACTGGTTAGCCTAAGAATGCTATTCAGTTGTTCCCAACATCACACATGGAAAGAATTTTAACTTTAATTTTTGATGGATTACTTGTACCTGGTCTTGGTTTTGATCATCACAGCAAAGCAGTGAAGAAGTTTGGAGCCTTTTGTTGGCTGTCTGTGGCTATATATATGCATATTATTAGAGCTTCTTATCTCATCATCTGCATGAAGCTCGGGCCTGGTGAGCTCTCTCTTTTCAGCTTTCTTGTCAGGTGTATAGCACCGTTAGTATGCAATATGATGTATGTTTGGGAGGAAAAAAAAAGAAATATTCTGCAAATTGTTTGCTGGCCATTTCGGATGGCCATGCTTTGATTTTCTTTGGTTGCTACTTCTGCAAGGACATTCAGTAAATGCTGGATGAATATAATGAAGTCATGAAGCAAGTTTATTTAGTGGATTATCATGTCTTCGATGCATAGATTTTTCGAATGTGTCTTAGAAAAGCTTCCTACTGAATTGAGACATACATACGTCATAGGAATTTTATTCCTTATCAAGAAGTACTTTCCCAATTTGGCTCTTCAATTATACGTACATTAACTTAATACATGTGTCGTGCCAGCTGATACTTGTTGAGTTTGCCGTTTGATATATTTTTCTTCTATCGCTGTAACGCATACGGGCATGTTTATGAGTTAAAGACAAAAGGAGGAGACTCAAATTTTGTACAATATTCCAGGAATAAAAGGTGCAATGTTAATTTTTTTACGCAAAATCTAACAAGCGACAGGTTGCATGCTCGCATGATCACGCTCCCTATGCCCCCTGCACCCACGCTCGACGATCATGCTCGTGGTGCCCCTTGCCCCGCGCTGACGCCAGCCATCGCTGGAGGTGGGTTAGGATTTCCTACCTCCCCCAAACTCTACATCCCTAGTAGTAAGCTGGCCCATGTCGGTGGGTGGGGTTGCGGTGGGTGGGCGGGGTGGCGAGGCGGTGGAGCACCGTCAACCGTGGTGGTGGGGGCGACAGTTGGGGCGGATCAGGGGCGAGGAAGGCTCACCGGCAACTGGTTGACGGAGCCAACGGATTAGCGGAGGGTGTAACACCCCTGGTGTTAAGCAACACTAAAAATTTGATATGTCATCATCAAGCATGTTAATCATCTTTAGTAGCTCATCATGCCTTGCATTCACTAAAAATTAATATTTATTTATTAGTATTGCAATGCATTTGTGTTGATTTGTGTTTAAACTCAAAAATACTTTGGAGGTACTTTGTGGCCTTTTATTTGTGAATTTCATTAAAATACTTGAAATTATGCCCTAATCAACTTTGAAGTGTAAAGTAGGTGCTTTACACTAGTGTCAAGTGTGGGGTATGAATTCAAGTCCAAACCCTTAAAATTTGAGCTCCAAATTTGGATTCAAACTTGAGTTTCAATAGTTAGTCATATTTGATTAAGTATTGAAAAATCAGCATTGGATTCACTTTTGTGGGAATTATTAAAATGAATTTTATAAATAAACTTGTTCAAACAATAGCATCATTTTGAAGTATGAAATGTGTACTTTACAATGGTGTTATTGGTTGATTTCTGTGATCATTAGTTAATCACCAATTAATTCACAAACATAGTTAAGTTAACTATTTTTCCAAACCCTAACTGCTTTAACTGAAGTTTCAGGTTTCAGTTTTAATCTACCTAAGTTCTATAGGTTTGATCTCCTTACCTAAGCAGAATTAGGGAAGACTTTCTTAAGCAAAGTTGGAGTGGACGTGTAGTTGAACAATTTTTGTTCTTAGAGAAGATCATGTTGCTGTGCTAAATCGGGAGAAAAGAAGGGAGGAAGATTGGGGTTCAGGCTGTTCGTTTGCTCCATTGGCAGTCAGGCAGGCTGCCTGCTCGCCGGAGGCGGCCGCCGCCCTCGCACCGCTCAACGGCGCAGGGACACGCAGCTGCTTTGCGCTGTCCACAGCAAGCAGCTGCTGTCGCGCTCTCCAGCGTGGCCCCGTCTTCATAAACACGTCGAAGCCGTCGTCCTCTCTCTCTTCCTTCGCTTTGCTCCGCCACCGCCGCCGTCGAGCACCTCCTCTCCGCCGGTCGTGTTCGCCGTCCTCGCTCGCTCCCAGCTCAATTCATCGCGCCCACAGCTCCGCCATAACCTTGCGCTTCTGCTGAGCCAGCCCACGCCAGCTCTACCTGTCTGAGCTGCCCGTGCGACGCCGTCTTCCTCCTCGTCGATCACCGTGCGCCGCCGTGACCACCTCACCGTGGCCAGGTTGCTCCTGTGAGTCTCTCACCGAGTCGTTTCGCGATTAGCTCCGCCTGACGTCCTGATGCTCATCGGCTCCTCGAGTTTTAGTAGAACTCCACGCGCCGAACGCCGCCCGCGCCGAGTTCACGCTTGCCGCCATCGTCCTCGCCACGACCGTGCAGCTACCTGCCTCCTCCGTCTCAACCAGCAGGAGCACCGGTCGCGGTGAGCTCCTGGCTAACCCAGCTGTCCATTTAAGCTTTACTGCGTGCCCTAGTTGCGGAGCGCGCGGCTATGCAAGGCGTGTTTCGCTTTTGACGAGCCACCGCGCCGCGTTGCGCGTGTAATAGGTCAAGACGCTACCAACCAACCCTTTGGGCGTGTTTGATAGAGCATCGTGAGAGCTTTGGTAAGCTTGGTGTCGCCGGTGACCTTGCCAATGACCACCTCCGCCTTGTCGGAGCGCCGCCAGGTTGCCGTGGTCACGGTAGTCGTCTTCGCGAGCGCCGGTATGCCCGATCACCCTTTGGTTAAGTTCGCGAGGACAAGAGGAAGGTGTACGAGTATCTCATGCGGCCCGAAAGCTCACCGTTGCACGTAGCCGCTCTGCGGAGCTCCGCCATGTCACCATGATCGTCGGCGTGTTTGCTACCGTGCCCTAACAAGTAAATCGTCATGTGAGAGTGTTCGGGAGGTTGAGAGGAACACGTTAGGCTAACTCGTTTCGCTGAAGTCGCTGCCGACGATCAAAGCCATCTCACCGGAGCAGCACTGAGCCGCCGTCGTGCTCACCACCGTGCAGTAGAGGTTCAACGGATAGTGCCAAAATGTGCGCGAGAGCGAGGGGAATCTGACGGGGTAGGTCTCGTCGCCGCAGAACGTCGCCGCCGGGCCAGTACCACTACCGGCAAGCAATGGCGCCAGTAGTCGTAGTCAAGCGCGGGCGCGAGTCCAGACCCCTCATGTCAGTCGAGAGAGGGTGAGAGAGTGTGTGAAAAAAGGTTTTATCTTTTTCGGTTTTTCGAAAATGTTAAAATAAGCTAAAACTTGATTAATTCATAACTAAATAAATAAAGCTGATAAAATTATAATTTTTTTTGTGTAAGCTTGTTATCATGTACTTAATCATGGAAAAATATGAGGTGGTGAAAATCGGTACTTTTGTTAGGTCTAAAAATTACCTCTTTTAATTAATAAATGAACCTTCCATGATTTTTATAGATTAAAATAATTATCCAAAAATCATGAAACTCTGTGTATATGCTTTACATGCTAAAATCAACCTTCACAAAAAGTTTGGTTTTGTTTTGATAAAAATAAATTGCTCACTTAAATTGGATGCCTTTTATGAATTAATAAAAATACAAAAATGATTTCCTTAAGTCATTAAAATGAATTGAGTGTACTTTGGGATTGATTGTGGACCTTGGAACACTAACACCTTGCTGCTCCTTGGCAATTCCTTTACATAAATGTGTTTTCATGATTAACTTATTGATAATAAGTAACAACTTTGTTTAGTGAATAACTAATTAATTGTTTAGTGAAGGAAGGTTGTATTCAAGCAATTAACCTTGTTTAAACCATCTTAATCCAT